GGGGGTTCAGAGCACAGATTTGATGCACGTTCTCAACTTCATGGTGCATCATTTGATTCCCTGCAGACATTTTCTGGATTTCTGGGGTGATTTCATCGTCCTGCTCTGAATATTCAAATGCAGTTTCATTGATTTTATCATCAACTTCAATGTTTTTGCTTTTCGGATCACAGATGTGGAACTTTTCTTCATGTATTTCATGACACATCACTTCTTGCTTTCTAGCAGGATTTTCTTGAATTTTTTTGGTGTTTTCTTCCATTGCATGTTCCTCGTTTTCATCTTGAAAGTCAATATTTGGGGGTTTTAGAGCCCAGATTTGATGCACGTTATCAACTTCATGGCACATGGTTTGATTCCCTGCAGATATTTTCTGGATTTCTGAGGTGATTGCATCTTCTTGGGGTGAATATTCAAATGCAGGTTCATTGATTTTATCATCAACCTCAATGTTTTTGCTTTTCAGATCACAGGTTTGGAGCATTTCTTCAACATCATGGCACATCACTTGGTTTGCAGCAATCACTTCTTGTGTTTCTGAGCAGATTTTGTCTTCTTCGGGTGGATCTTTAAATATAATGCCCTTAATTTTATCATCAACCTTTATATTTTGGCTTTTCGCATTCCATATCACATCTACATTTCCCTCTGGATTCTCTTGAGTTTCTTCTTCCAAAAGAGTTTCAAATGCAATTTCTATGATTTCCCTTTTAATCATTTTGTGTTTTGGATGCCAGGTTTGGAGCATCTGTCCATGTATTTCATGCCACTTCACGTCTTGGTTTCCAGCAGAAATCTCTCTGGTTTCTGAGCTGGTTTCTTCTTCTTCTTCTTCAGATGCAGTTGTCTTCATTTCATTTTCCTCCTCAATGCTTTGGTGTTTGTGATGCCAGATTTGGTGCACATCTTCATCCAGACTATGTTTTATATAGCACATCACTTTTGGGCTTCCAGAAGGAATCTCTTTAGCTTCCGAACCAATTTTGTCTTGCTCACATGGAGTTTCCTTAATTATATCCTCAAAGTCAATGTTTTGGTGTTTTGGATCCCAGATTTGGAGCATATCTTCATCAGTTTGGCACATCATGTCTTGATTTCCAACATTAATTTCTTGTGTTTTTGAGCCTGTTTCTTCTTCTCCAGATGGAGTTTTTATTTCCTCATGTTTATTCTTAATCTCACTAGTTTGGGGTTTTGGATCCCATATTTTTGAATCAGTTTCTTCTTCTCCCTCAGATTGAGTTTCCACTGAGAATTTCTTGATTTCAGACTCAATATTTCGGTGTTCTAAACCCCAGATTTGGTGCAAATCTTCATCATCTTCATGAAACATCACTGTTTTGATTCCAGCAGGATTCTCTTTGCTTTTTGAAGCAGTTTTGTATTTTTCAGGTGGTGTTTTAAATGCAGTTTCCCTGTTTTCATTGTTATCCTCAATATTTTGCTGATTCAGACCACAGGTTTGGAGCATGTCTTCATCTATTGGGAACATTTCTTGGTTTCCAGCAGAAATTTCATGGTGTTTTGGTCCAGTTTCTTCTCCTTCTTCAGACTGAGTTTCACCTGAGGATTTCTTGATTTCAGACGCACTGTTTTGGTGTTTTGCACCAAAATCATCTTCATGAGACACCACTTTTTCAATTCTTGAAGTACTCTGTTTGGTTTCTGAAGTGATTTTGTGTTTTTCAGATTGTGTTTCAAACGCAGTTTCCTCGTTTTTATTGTTATCCTCAATATTTTGCTTTTCTGGAACCCAGATTTGCAGCATTTCTTCATCTTTCTCCAGACACATCATGTCTGGGCTTTCATCATGGATATGTTCACGGGTTTGTACTGGAAACTGATCATCTTTGGCAGCTCCTGCACAGTTTAATGCATCTTCTTCTCCATTATGAATGAATGCGGAGCGTCTTCCCCTAGCGATGGCCTCATTGAGAGCCTTCATGTACTTTAGTTTTTCACCAGCAGAGGGAGTCTTTACCTCTGAACTCTGGGGCAAACACAGCACACTTCACATCACTGCAGAATCACAATTCTCCTACGTATACTAAGCCTGAAAAGCCCATTTTTGAGTGTGCAAGCTTCAAGACAAATATTTCCTCAATACGAGCACCTGTCAATCTTCATGGGACACACTAAATCTATTCTCAAATATTATTTAGGAGAAATAGAAGGAAAGCATTCGTTATTGACACTGCATCAACCATAATATCAAAGAGCTGTGAGTCGAGAAATAAACCAACAAGAAATAATCATTCCATCCATTCATTTAGGGTTATTACATTATAAAACACATATCATTGACATTTTGTAGTATTTGGCAGCAATTTTACACATAAAACAAATTATAGACCTAAAAAGTAGTCTTAAAAACAAGAAGCACTTCATTTTTTTAAAGTGAAAAATGACAACAGAGAAAAAAACACACATACCTTTACATATACACATACTTCCCCACTAGACGACACTAATCTACCTCCATTAATTGGACTTAATTAAATAAA